GGCAAATAGGTGGACAATCTTGTGTAATCACCGTATTGTGTTACGCGGTAAATCGGTGTGCTCCAAGTGAGAATTTTCCGCTTGAAAAAAAGCGTGGTTTTTACCGTGGAAAAGCTGGCTGTKAACATACAAATATATACTACTCACAAGCATAGCCAAATTACGCCACTGATCTGAGACGTGTGGTCGTCACGTCCGTAGTCCGTTCGCGTTCTTTGTGAACGTTGCGGCGAAACGCACAAGGTAGCGTTTTCACCGTTCGGTATATATTAGGTACCGTTGTTTGCGGTGCACCGCGCGATTTGGTCCACTCGACTCGACCGTTTACAGTCGCATTGATTACAGTCGAGTGGTCAAGTAGTATTAACGCGTGTTCCGTCGACGCTGTCGTCTTCGTCCTCGACACTGATGGGATTATAGCCAAGCTGCTGTCCGTAACTCGTTGTCGCGCATTGTTAGTCGCGAATCGCGATGAGCATAGGCGCCAAGTACATGGGTGCTCGAGCACCCATTGAAAATATTCATTGGGTGCAGAGCACCCAATATAATTAAAATAGGTAAACCTTTATCACCACGTTCATTGTATGATATCAGTGGCTACAAAGAAAAACCACAGGATATAAAAATCTATTTCATCTATAATTCTGTGGCAAAACCTCGGAAGTCAAAATTAGAAAAAAAAAATTGGGGGTGGGTACAACCCATTACTCCCTCCCCGCCAATGCTTGCGCCACTGTTGTTTTACATTGGTAAGAGCACTCAATAGCTTTTTGAAAACCTGGCGCCTATGGCGATGAGTAGCAACGTGCGCTATTCATCGGTGTCACACACATTCGATATCAGCTGTTATATATCCTGTGAGGCATCGCCATCGTCGCCGCGACCGGCGCGTACGAATTACGTAATCCGGTCCATTGATTCGGCCAAATCATTCCGGCCGATTGTTGCTGATCGCCACCGTCCCTATCATCACCGCCGCGTTCACCTGCGGATCATCATCGCAGCCGCAGCCGTTTGCAGTCACCGCCGCCGCCGATACTCTGCCCTCCAGCGGCGCATGTGCCGTCCGGTAATCAGTAGTTATTATTATTGTTGATTTCGGTCAAAGAGACGTCTTTACCGGATTCATACATTTATTATCATTTGTGTATTTCATTATTGTTTTGTCTGGGCGTCATTAAGCGTTCCAATATACACTTATTATCATATTCAGTACATATATGATCATTTATTCCCCGTCACCCTACTCACATCCAGCATCGTAAGCCTCCGTCTTTTATATTATTTATAGTTGCCCGGCCAAAGGCTAGCTACTAGCCGGGGACGCAACACTAAAAATGGTCAGAGTCGTTTGGGAAGCGACGGTTTCAACCTAAATTTAAACTTTAGATAAATAATTTTTTAAGTATAGTTATTTTAATAAGAATTTTAATTCTGAAGATTTAWGTTTTTTAATAAAGTCGTCTATGACAAAAGCTGGGTCCACAAATCTATACTAAACATTTGATCCTTGATATACACTCTATCGTTTAAAACAAATTGCGTGGCAATCGGCCGAGTAGTATGACGTTGACACATTAACCTTAAAAGTTTACACCCAGCTATTTTTACATATTTATATAGTTACCTAAATACCTAATTTCATACTCTTGTTACACTTTTAAATTTTTAAAAATAGCATATAGTATGTAGAATATTAGTTATTATGATTTTATTGAATAACCGTAATACATTATTAACTGATGTGTTCAGAAAAAATGTAACCCGTCTGTTTCTTATGCATTAATTCGTGGWTATTGATTTGTTTTCATTGTTTGAACTAATTTTTTTTAAAATACGGCCTGTTAATCTAAATGGACTAAATTTTTTTGATAAATTTTTGATCCGTCCGAATATTTTGAAAAGTTTTCCGGTACGATTATTTTCTGATGTTTCTTCCTCGAGTTCTGTAGTTTTTCCATTTTTACTTCCAGCCGGAGTCAAATTTGGCTTCGGATTTAACTTCGGAAGTGCAGGCTTTAGTTTTTTTTTCATAACCGAAACATATAAATAGTTAATATTGAATTATATAGGAAGTGTGTTAATCAGTATATAAAAATATATTGAAAAATTGCAGAAGCCACTGATTTCGTTTTTCCACCTGTATACGAATATGAACTAGATAAAAATAGGTACCTATACTTACTTATCTTATTAGTTTTTACATATTTTGTTTTAAATGCATTTTGCAAATAACATTTCCAATAGGTCTGTATGATAGGTGCAGCTATAATAGCCATTTTGCTAATTTTCTGTAGATAATAGGYACAGTTATTCATTTCATATTCATAGTTATGATTGTTTAGAAACACCTTCCTATATCAACTTTAAATTAATATTACACAAAAATTGAAGTCTAACCTTATTATTATTAAAGGGAATTATGTAATTTAAGGTCACGTTGATTACCTATATTATGAAAGTCATTTAGAATATGAATACAATTATATAAAATACTGCAGAAGTACCTACCTATATAAATGTTATTTGCAGCGTGTACAAATTTTGAGAAATAAACTTGTCAACATAATAGATTATGAAAAGTATTACATCTGGAGTTTTTTTTTTTAAAGTATATTAACCGCAATAGTTAGGTAATATATTATATTTTAACGTAATTAAATGTAGAAATGAATGATAATAATGGAACGTCATGATAACATCACTACACCAGTAGTGATTTAAAGGTATCTATGACAAATTTACTGTACTAACACAGAGGCAATAAATATATATTTAAGTAACCAAATATGGGAGGGGGAACTTAATTTGCCGTTCAAACCTGATTATAGTTATTAATTATCATACTGATACCTAACCGTACAAAAATTGRCTTTGGACCAGTCACATAGAAGGCTCAACACATTTTTAAACATAATAAAGCTTTTTTATGTTAACTCATTAAACTATCAATGCTAGAAAGTCGTATGGCATTCCAAAAATGGCTGGAAAAACGAAATCAGTGTAGTTAACTTGCTGGCACTACTATGAAATATAAATTACTGTCTGCTTTCCTGAACGCTTAACTTCATSTATGATGTGATTAATCACAAATCATAAATGCAATTTAGGAATTTTTTTATACAAATTACCTTTTGTTGATTTGGATTAATACCCCGTGGTCTAACTTTCATATCTCTTGCAGGAGATGGATTCCGTAAATTTGCTGGCGGACAAGTTATAAACTAAATTTCCAACAAAAACTACAGTTTAGTAAATATAAACCATATTAAACAAAAAACATAGGTTTATTCCTAGCTATGTATAACTAAATACATAATTATTAGATTAGTTTATTATGATACAATTTTACTTAATTAATTTAATAAAATGAATATTCATTTTTTTTAACCAAGGACGAGTTAAAACAAATTATTACTTATGATTATTCAAACAAAAAATGATAGCAAATAGTTATGCTATGCTGTTATCTATCCATTATTTTAATCATTTGTTTGTTCCAACTAATTTATTATATTGTTAAATTCAAGGTAAGAAATGGTATACGTGTCTAATTTTTTTTGCCAATTTTTCGTATTTGAAAAAAGATTTAAATATCTCAAGGATATCGAGGCACACGGGCAGCTAGTATATAATATAATACATTTATATGGCACATTAAATAAAGATACCTACATATTATCTTAGGAAACGAAAATCAGCTGAAAAGTGTAATAAATATTATAAAATGTGACAAAACTTACATGAACCAAACAACCAATCACCATAATTGGTAAAACTATCCGTTTAGAAAACATTTCGTGTCAGTGTTTGTACAGAATTCAAAAAAATAGAAATTTAGAAAACTGTATTATAATTTTATTTATTTTGTATATAGAAAACTAAAACCGACGACTGTGGGTAATCGTCACGGGTTATACTGTTATTATATATGTTATTATAGTATTCGTTAGACCTATCCGTAAATACGGTAATTAGTATATTCAAACATAAAAAACAAGTGTCGCAGATAGTGGTAAATAAAAGGTATATTATAGTATAATGCATACAATATCCTAATTATTATTTAAGGTATAGGGAAAAAAATTAAAAACTTTTAATAGTAATTGGTTTTTGCTTACTGACGCTTCTAAAATATAGTTATTAGAACTTGTTTAATCATCCACAGGTGATAATGACGACACAGGTTATTTTGACCTATTTATATTCGTATATATATAATAAAATACAAAAAACCGCACAGGCATAAATTTATTTTTAGGTTTGTCGCTGTTAAGTTAAATTAAATGTTTATGAGCGTTTGAAATTTAAATTTTTACAACATTGGATTTTCACTAAATTTCTTATTTAGCGATTTTCTTATTTTRGTGTRACTCTAAAACAAATGACCTCAGATAATTGAAATTTTCACTAAATGTTTATATAGGCATTTTCTATATTTGATAACATTTTCAAAATGTTTTGA